ATAGAAGAACAAAACGGGCTTCAACTGCGTTCTTGTTAGATTGATTCATTCACTGTCACCCTGGGGACGCGGAATGTTATTTCAGACACCTTTACATTACAGGCAGCAACTAACTACAAAGGACAACTGTGCCAGGATTACCAAAATGGATCGATTACTCACATTTGGTTGGCGCTTGTGCTGATTGTATAAGATATGAAATTGTTGGCATCACCAAAGAAGCGGTTAATTTCCAGTGAAAGCGCACAATAAGAGATGAAATTCACCATGAAACGGAGAAATATTATGTTCATATTCGGATGCAGAAAACAATTGATCTAATCAAGTGTACTGTCGGTCAGTCTTAACAATCCAATACATTATATAAACGTGATCGCTGTGGTATTTTATGATGGAGTGAAGCCATACGAAAAACCATGAAGCAAATACCATTTGCAACTACAGGCCAACATCCATTCTTACCCGTGACGCTCAATGGCAATAGCGAGAAAATTTTTCAAATCGTCGGAAAACGTCTCGCTAATAGGGCGCCAAAGAGCTACACCACGATCAGATTCGTCCTGGATATTGGGTATGGTTTCTCCTTGATACGGTGGCAAATCAACCTGGAAATCCGTACCAACACGAATGACAGCATCTGTCAGAAGTGGGGTAAGAAAATGTAAATAGATGATTAGTTACTAAGTCTAACACCTCAGTGAAACTATCACATTTGAAAATACCGGTTCTCGTGAAATCATTCAGTATCTGAACCCGGAAAATGATTGGAAACTGTTATTTCCTACGAAACACTTGTCCCAATAAGTTCTTATACGATTCGAAATTCAGTCTCAGGATTTCTTTTCAGCCCAGTGATACGTTATACTCAATTCGAATGTGCCTGTTTTAAAAAAGCATGGATCAATATTTTTAAAGAGTTGTGTAAATGGGGGAGTGATGTTTGTCACATTGCGAGCTGAGGTTTTAGGTTTAAATGAGATCACTGCCACTTTCAGTGAGCAGTCTAACAATATCATGATCTCACGGGAGCTAGCCTCTCCTGGAAATGGCATGTCGCAGGGAATTTCCTGTAAAAATTTGAGTCACATGGGTGCACGCCGACAGACAACGCTGCCACACATCAGTTCTACAAATACCAACCAAACAATCAACCGTACTCTAAGGAGCAACTCTTCGCATTGGTCTGGACTGGAATACACTAAGCGGACCTGTAGATGGGCGTACTCGCCACGATCTGGATTTTTTGGTTCGGTGGACGCTCAGTCCTGTTGGCATATAAAAACAAATACTGCTGACTGAACAAATTGAGCTAATTCCACTCTTCAGTTCCGATGGGTTTGAATATGGTGATTTCACAAAATAATAGCATTTCGCATCTTGAAGGTGCAGAAGTTACACCGAATATAGCTTAATTGAAACCAAATTATTAACTGTGGGAATAAGACAGGGTTTTCTTCCGTTTTTACAACCGTTAACCATGCAATTTCGTGCGCCGGTTTTGGTTGCCCACTTGGATAAAAGGGCGAAATGAGGATTGGAATGTCGAAGCAAATTCAAGCGGAAGATGGGTAATTCAAAAAGACGGGGGTGTTGGGTCATGAATGACCAAACACTGTCCACTCTATCGGTGATTGGTTGCGGTAGGTGAATTTTCAACTACCCATCGACTATCTTTCCGTGCTTTCTTCGCACGTGCCGGGCAAGGTTGGAAGAAGCGCCGCGGCGGTCAAACCATGACATAGCGTAATATATGAAAAAGCTGGCTTCAGCTTTGGCTTCGGGTGGTGCATCCCTTCCAGGTTGGGGACCAAGGGATGAGGACTTTCGTTGGTTAGAGACACTGAGAATGGAAGTCAGTGGCACGACTGCTGTACGGTCTGCCTGTTGAAATCCCGTGCCCCGTAAAACAGATTCCGCACAAAAATATCAAGAAGTGCACGATGAATCAAACAAAAAATTGTAATCGCTTTCAAAATTGACCATCTGACCCCCGCCCCCCATCCCATACACTGCTTTGTATCCCACGTTCCCAATTTTTGTCATTGTGTTGCGTTGGCGTCAAGCTTGCTTGCAAGCACATATATATAT